GTGGTAAGAAATGAATAACTAGGGGTGGGATTCGGTCGGTAAACGGTAAATTGTTTACCGAATTTACCGGTTTCGGCATACCGACATTGGCTAAATTGGAATCGATTACCGATACCGGTTTGTAACCGGTTTACCAATTACCGAATTACCGGTAAACGGTTACAAACCGGTATTACCGAAATACCGTGAAATGCGACGTCAGGCGGTTTTTCGGTTTGGTTTACCGAACATTTACCGAACCGAATTTCTGGCAGTTGGGTGGTGTAATAATATTTTGATTTTTCTGAGTTTTTTTATTCATTTTTGTAATTAATAATTTATTATTAACTCTTATTTATAATATTTTTGAGGCCTATACTTACTTACATTCATGTATGTAATATTTTATATTTGTGAATATTGAAGTATATGTTATATGTTAATTCCTTAACTAGTTAACTTAATGTTCGGCAAACTCAAAGTAGCTATCTATTTAATTTAACATAAGTTCAAAGGGTCAACAATAATGATTCATTAATAACATCAACTCTCATCAAGCATCATCATTCATCAAATATTCAAACTCATCAAACGACAATTTGACAAACATCGTCAAATTCAAAGGGACAACAAGTCAACAATCAACATAAACACATAATCGTCATTCATCAATCGACTAAAGTGCCCAATGATAATGTCTAAATTCAACACAAGTTCAAAGTCCAAACTTAAAAATTAAAATAGACAACCAAATAAGTTTATAACCAATAGCTCATGCTCCTCCTTCTCCGGTAGAACTTGTAGCACCACCAACATTTGCACAACCTTTCTTCTTCAAAGTCATGAGAAGAGTATCATCGGGATCATCATCGGCATCTTGGTTCATGTCTTCGTCGGACTCGGTGGCTTCATCATCATCATCACTATCCTCCTCTTCCTCCTCGACCTCCTCCTCATCAACCCCAACAGGTAAGCTATGTGCTCCACTTGGGATGTCACTTGCAGTTTCCACTTGAGATTGGAAAGTATTAGTAACTAGTGCAAATAAATTACACAAATGTTAGTATGTTACTAAGAGAATGGTTTAAAATTTAAATAGTAAGAGTATAGACAAATTATAATAATAAATTAAATTCTTACCACTTTCATAATCGATTGTCTCTTGATCTTCTTCCTTATCATTAAGTTCATCTGCAGTCTTTCCACTTTCATATCTTATCCAATTTTCAGCACATATCAATGCCTCCACAATGTTTGGGCTTAAAGAAGACCTGAAAGGACTAAGAACTCGACCTCCACAACTGAAAGCGGACTCCAATGCAACAGAGGAGACTGGAACTGCTAATATATCCCTAACCATCTCTGAAAGAATGGGATATCTAACACTGTTCCGAGCCCACCACTTCAGAATGTCAAACTTCCGATCATTAATCTCCTCATTAATAACATCACCAATATCTCTCAAATACTGCTCCAACTCACCAGAACCTCGACCCCCCCCCCCTCCCTCTCAATTTGCTCCTTTCTCTTCTGCTGGAACCGAGCTTCAAATGCGGACTCCATATCAACAAATCCGTCACTAGTCTCAGTAGGAGTAGTAGTCTGGGTAGTAGGCACAGAAACAGAGGATGGAGTTGCATACTTCATCTTGTAGACATCGTACAATGCAATCATCTCCTTCTTTACTTCATCTGTCAAAGCTCCCCCTTTTGAGATCCCATACATTTCCTCCAACATCATAGTCAAATAGTCTAGCTTACGCCTGGGATCCAGTACACAGGCCATGTAAACTATCCTATTTATCCTAAAGTTATCCTCCTCGTCAGCAACATCATTCTCAAACCAATACTTTCTCACATTTACCTCTATTCTCAATGTCATTCTTTGTATCTGTCCATCTGCATCTTTGTTCAATTTTGCTATCACTTCATGAATATCCACAATGGCTTTGCAGAAAGTATGTGCAGTGACATATGATGTTCCTGATACAAAGAAAAATTTACCGATATTAGTATAAATAAAATAACTCATAACTCATAATCATTCAATTTAATTTTAAAATTTGAAAGTTATTAGTTCATATACCTGATACACGAAGAGTAAGCTCATAGAAGAACTTCAGGTACTTCATGAGCCGCCTAATACTGATCCAATCATCTTCAGTTGGAAGACCCTTCTTTGAATCCACATACTCTTGAAAGGAAGAATCAGTAGGACTAGCATACATGAACGTAAAAACCTACTCAAACCTCTCCGCGAAATCCAACATCAGATAGGTGGAATTCCACCTAGTCGGAACATCCGAAGACAATAGTCTTTTCCCATCCATATCTAGATAGCTTATGCCTTTCTTGAACTTTGCCATCCGAGCTGGGGATGACTTCACCCATTTCACACAATCCCTTACCCTCTCCACAACAACTCCAACCTCCTTCAATCCATAAAAAACAACCAGATTGATGATATGTGTCACACATCTATACTGCAAATACTTCCCATCTAGCAAATCTTTTCCCCACCTCTTCATTTTTGTTCTCATGCACTCAACAAGAACATCATTCGAACTGGCATTATCCATTGTCATGCAAAACAAAATCTTCACTTTCCATAAATCTCCTAAACCCCTCCAGGTATCACAAACAAAGGCTGAGTTGTTGCCATAAATCTCCTAAACCCCTCCCGCTCAACAAATCTAAACGGAAGCTCATCCAAGATTATCATCATAGCTAATGCATGTCTAGATTTGCTCTGATCAAACATCCATGCAGTAAGAGAGCCTACCTCACCATCTCCACTTCCAGCTCCAGGTTGATAGTTCAATACAGACTGACCACTAGCTTCCTTCGCCCTCCTCTCGCACATTAGGTGATGACTCTTCAAACCACTAGTCCCATTGAAGGTTGAATGAGCTTTGATCAGCGTCCCACACCTTTTGCATTTGCAGTATGGGTAGTCATCAACCAACTCACGAGTGTAAGGAATCCACCACTTAGATTTTGACTTCCTCCCCTTCCCCTTCTCAATTTTCTTCTGTACACCAGGTACCTCAACAGATGGAGGAGGATTTGCTGCAGATGGAGGAGGATTTGCCGCAGGAGGTGGATTTGCTACAGCTGTAGGTGGATTTGCAGTAGTGGAAGGTGTGCTACTAGTCGAAGCCTTCCCTTTTTTTGAAGAGCTTCGAGGAGGTAGAGAACTAGCTTTCTTCTTACTACCAAATCCACGGCTGCCAGCAGAAGGTTTCGTCCTACAAAAAAAAATGAACACATAAACCTCCTAAACAATCACTCAACAATTACTCATCAATTTCAATTCAATCAACCTCAATTCAATTAATCAATCAACCTCAATTCACTGACAATTTATCATCAATTACTCAATACTCAATAGTCAATATTCATCAATTCAATTCAATACATACTTGAAAGTACAATTCAATTAACTTATTAACAATAACATACATAGATAGATTTTGGCTAATAGCTAATTGGCTACTGCTGAGTACTGTTGTTGGCTACTTGGCTTGTTGTATGCTGCCTCCCTCGGCCATTTGCCCTTCAAATAGCACAAATGTCACTTAATGAGCTCTATTAGCTTCCTTCATTTCCCCTGTCTTCTCATTGTGCTGCTTTCTTTTGGTACTCTAATCTAAAATTGCCTATTGTTCCTCCATCGACATGTAGTTCTCTTTTAATCACTTGTTGCTTCCCTCGCCATAAGAAAACTTTGCAGCCTCCCCTCTATCTCTTTTATTGCGATCGAATTCCATATTATCGCCTGCTAGCAAAAAAGTTAAATATCATCTCCGACCACCTCACTTTGTCAACTGCTACCTGGTTGGCTTTATGAATCTGACTAGCATTGTGAATTCTAAATGAACTAAAAGAGAGTCGATCGAGTGCATGCAATTTGATCGATTGCTCCTTGTTCCTCTCATGTTCATCTTCATGTCGAACTCTACTGCCAATTGTGGTGGCTTCTTCTAATCATCCTCTTTTTCTGATTGCTTGCCCTGTTTATACGATTATCCAATTAGATTGAAAATAAAACAGGGGTGCCTAGAGTTCGTTCCTTATCCTCGACGGTTCTGGATTTTGAGAAATGACATCGGCGACGACAGTGCAAGGAATTGGCGACTACTGGCTTGCATAGATTATCCTCGACGGTTCTGAATTTTGTGACTACAGGTTTGGGAAGCGATAACAGCAGCGATGGTGATGGTGCATATCGCCAACCTGAGGTGGAGCCTAATCGTTGACTTTGCTTGGCTAACCGCCAGCCGATTTGCCGACGGAGATGGGGAAAGACGGCGAGAAGTCGAAGAAACGCATAGACGGGGGAGAAGGTGAAGAGATGAGAGTTTTGAATCAACAACTGAGATGAAGTCTTAAAGTGTGATGGACGGCTATCCGTATGGTCTGCAGAATACTTATTGTAGACCTGTCCACTTCCCACTAGACCACTTAAACAATTAGGCTCCATTTATATTCTAATAATTTAAAAGGGTTAAAAGCCCTTATATTCCAACCGGATATTATTAGGATTTAGGATATTTAACTCAACAGGAAGTCGGGAACTACTAAAATACTCTTTTAGTCTCAATGATGTTTGCTTATTGTTTTTGCATGGTTTCAGCTATACTTAAGAGGGACGCTTAGATTTAGTTACTCATTGAGCTCAAACGAATCGTTATTTATCACCCATAAAAAAAATGAAGGGTAAAATGTTACAAACGCCTAATTAATTCCCAGCAGAAAACGGTGAGTTAAGTGTGATTAAGCAGGTCGAGCAGCCGCTTCGTTCTTTCTCATCTGGTCTAAAGCCTCTTTGCGACTTGAATTAGTTGATCGGTTAAATATCATTCAGATTCATCCATTTCGAGAGACAGAGGCACGAAGGAAAGCTCCAAAATGGGAAATTTAACACGGTAGTATTATAAATCACTGCTCGGCGAACACCCAAACAAAGCATGACAGACTTAAAGATGACACTGAAACAGAGTAACTTAAAACAACAACCAGCCACAGCAGCAGCAGCAGATTAAGAACAGAGACGGAAGAAAAAAAGAGTAAACCCCTTTCTTCTACAAGCAAACCCCTGCCATGGCTGTTCTTTATTTACAGCAGGGCCAAAGCGCTAAGACACCCGACCCCAACAACAACTTCCTTTGTCTTCATTTTCTTAGTTTATTAAATAACCATGGGACCGAGCGAGGATTAATGGTGGGTTTGTTCATTTGCAGCCGCAGTTGTCGCAGGTGCAGTTTGATCCGCACTTGCAGCCGTTCTCAGCACCGAAGCTCATCTCCGAGCTCTCAAATCCCCTGCGGCGCAATTCAAAATAAATCCAGACCCAATTAAACATTAATTTGATTGGATGAGAGAAATAATCATAAGGTTGGGTTGATCGCAGAGGAATTGGTAATTAACTCACATGCTGACCGGGGCAACGCCGGCGATGAGGATCTGGGTGGAAGTGGTGGAGGTCTCGGCGAGATCAGGGTACATGCTGCACCCGTTGCAGCCACTGCCGCACTTGCAGGCTGAGCCGCAGCCGCACTTTCCTCCGCAGCAAGACATTCTTATTTGGGTTGGTTTGAGAGTTTAGAGAAGAAGAAGAAAGCAGAGGCCAGAGAGTGTTTGTTTGATTGCTCTGTTTTGTGGGATGGTTTTTCAACGTTCAGCTCGGCCCTGTATTTATAGTGGAGAGTGGGGGTGGTCGGAGCTATCCATCCACCGTACACGTGGCGGAATCGTAGACCCAAAGCGTCATTGCTCACTCCACCACTCTCTTACGTGTTTACTTTTTGTCCTCCTAGGTAAAATCCCTCAACTTGCAAGTAATTAATCGTTCTTCATCTGATTTATCTATGCATATTTGACTAATTAATTGCCTATCGCCATCTCCCTCCAACCTTTTCACCTTATTATTATTATTATCTGCGGTAGAAACAATCAACAGAAGCGCCAAGATCAAATAATTGATTTAATGTCAGAGATAACCATTGTATAATCTATATGTTTACAAGGGATGTGGTTTAATTTGAGAACATTTGTCGAGCAATACAAGGTTAACAATAAGTCGATATGTATCATCCTAATTCATATCTTATCCAATCTTCAGCACATATCAATGCCTCCACAATGTTTGGGCTTAAAGAAGACCTGAAAGGACTAAGAACTCGACCTCCACAACTGAAAGCGGACTCCGATGCAACAGAGGAGACTGAAACTGCTAATATATCCCTAACCATCTCTGAAAGAATGGGATATCTAACACTGTTCCGAGCCCACCACTTCAGAATGTCAAACTTCGATCATCAATCTCCTCATTAATAGCATCACCAATATCTCTCAAATACTGCTCCAACTCACCAGAACCTCGACCCCCCTCCCTCTCAATTTGCTCCTTTCTCTTCTGCTGGAACCGAGCTTCAAATGCGGACTCCATATCAACAGATCCGTCACTAGTCTCAGTAGGAGTAGTAGTCTGGGTAGTAGGCACAGAAACAGAGGATGGAGTTGCATACTTCATCTTGTAGACATTGTATAATGCAATCATCTCCTTCTTTACTTCATCTGTCAAAGCTCCCCCTTTTGAGATCCCATACATTTCCTCCAACATCATAGTTAAATAGTCTAGCTTATGCTTGGGATCCAGTACACATGCCATGTAAACTATCCTATTTATCCTAAAGTTATCCTCCTCGTCAGCAACATCATTCTCAAACCAATACTTTCTCACATTTACCTCTATTCTCAATGCCATTCTTTGTATTTGTCAATCTGCATCTTTGTTCAATTTTGCTATCACTTCATGAATATCCACAATGGCTTTGCAGAAAGTATGTGCAGTAACATATGATGTTCCTGATACAAAGAAAAATTTACCGATATTAGTATAAATAATATAACTCATAACTCATAATCATTCAATTTAATTTTAAAATTTGAAAGTTATTAGTTCATATACCTGATACACGAAGAGTAAGCTCATAGAACTTCAGGTACTTCATGAGCCGCTTAATACTGCTCCAATCATCTTCAGTTGGAAGACCCTTCTTTGAATCCACATACTCTTGAAAGGAAGAATCAGTAGGACTAGCATACATGAACGTAAAAACCTACTCAAACCTCTCCGCGAAATCCAACATCAGATAGGTGGAATTCCACCTAGTCGGAACATCCGAAGACAATAGTCTTTTCCCATCCATATCTAGATAGCTGATGCCTTTCTTGAACTTTGACATCCGAGCTGGGGATGACTTCACCCATTTCACACAATCCCTTACCCTCTCCACAACAGCTCCAACCTCCTTCAATCCATAAAAAACAACCAGATTGATGATATGTGTCACACATCTATACTGCAAATACTTCCCATCTAGCAAATCTTTTCCCCACCTCTTCATTTTTGTTCTCATGCACTCAACAAGAACATCATTCGAACTGGCATTATCCATTGTCATGCAAAACAAACTCTTCACTTTCCATTCTTGTAAACACTTCTCCAAAGTATCTGCAATATCCTTCCCCGTGTGACTAGTAATGGGAACAAAGCAAATAATCCTCTTCTGCAACTTCCTATCATCTCCAATAAAATGTGCAGTCACACACATAAAATTCTGGTTGTTATCACTAGTCCATGTATCTGTAGTGATAGATATTCTTCCTTTGCACTTTGAGTTAAAAAACTCAATCAATATTTCTTTCTTCTCCAGAAAAATGACATAACAATCAGATCTTATTGTTTGCCTTCCAGGTATCACAAACAAAGGCTGAGTTGTTGCCATAAATCTCCTAAACCCCTCCCGCTCAACAAATCTAAACGGAAGCTCATCCAAGATTATCATCATAGCTAATGCATGTCTAGATTTGTTCTGATCAAACTTCCATGCAGTAAGAGAGCCTACCTCACCATCTCCACTTCCAGCTCCAGGTTGATAGTTCAATACAGACTGACCACTAGCTTCCTTCGCCCTCCTCTCGCACATTAGGTGATGACTCTTCAAACCACTAGTCCCATTGAAGGTTGAATGAGCTTTGATCAGCGTCCCACACCTTTTGCATTTGCAGTATGGGTAGTCATCAACCAACTCACGAGTGTAAGGAATCCACCACTTAGATTTTGACTTCCTCCCCTTCCCCTTGTCAATTTTCTTCTGTACACCAGGTACCTCAACAGATGGAGGAGGATTTGCTGCAGATGGAGGAGGATTTGCCGCAGGAGGTGGATTTGCTACAGCTGTAGGTGGATTTGCAGTAGTGGAAGGTGTGCTACTAGTCGAAGCCTTCCCTTTTTTTGAAGAGCTTCGAGGAGGTAGAGAACTAGCTTTCTTCTTACTACCTCCTCCACGGCTGCCAGCAGAAGGTTTCGTCCTACAAAAAAAAAAAAACAAAAAAACAAAAAAACAAAATGAACACATAAACCTCCTAAACAATCATTCAACAATTACTCATCAATTTCAATTCAATCAACCTCAATTCACTGACAATTTATCATCAATTACTCAATACTCAATAGTCAATATTCATCAATTCAATTCAAAAACATACTTGAAAGTACAATTCAATTAACTTATTAACAATAGCATACATAGATAGATTTTGGCTAATAGCTAATTGGCTGCTGCTGAGTACTGTTGTTGGCTACTTGGCTTGTTGTATGCTGCCTCCCTCGGCCATTTGCCCTCCAAATAGCACAAATGTCACTTAATGAGCTCTATTAGCTTCCTTCATTTCCCCTGTCTTCTCATTGTGCTGCTTTCTTTTGGTACTCTAATCTAAAATTGCCTATTGTTCCTCCATCGACATGTAGTTCTCTTTTAATCACTTGTTGCTTCCCTCGCCATAAGAAAACTTTGCAGCCTCCCCTCTATCTCTTTTATTGCGACCGAATTCCATATTATCGCCTGCTAGCAAAAAAATTAAATATCATCTCCGACCACCTCACTTTGTCAACTGCTACCTGGTTGGCTTTATGAATCTGACTAGCATTGTGAATTCTAAATGAACTAAAAGAGAGTCGATCGAGTGCATGCAATTTGATCGATTGCTCCTTGTTCCTCTCATGTTCATCTTCATGTCGAACTCTACTGCCAATTGTGGTGGCTTCTTCTAATCATCCTCTTTTTCTGATTGCTTGCCCTATTTATACGATTACCCAATTAGATTGAAAATAAAACAGGGGTGCCTAGAGTTCGTTCCTTATCCTCGACGGTTCTGGATTTTGAGAAATGACATCGGCGACGACAGTGCAAGGAATTGGCGACTACTGGCTTGCATAGATTATCCTCGACGGTTCTGAATTTTGTGACTACAGGTTTGGGAAGCGACAACAGCAGCGATGGTGATGGTGCATATCGCCAACCCGAGGTGGAGCCTAATCGTTGACTTTGCTTGGCTAACCGCCAGCCGATTTGCCGATGGAGATGGGAAAAGACGGCGAGAAGTCGAAGAGACGCATAGACGGGGAGAAGGTGAAGAGATGAGAGTTTTGAATCAACAACTGAGATGAAGTCTTAAAGTGTGATGGACGGCTATCCGTATGGTCTGCAGAATACTTATTGTAGACCTGTCCACTTCCCACTAGACCACTTAAACAATTAGGCTCCATTTATATTCTAATAATTTAAAAGGGTTAAAAGCCCTTATATTCCAACCGGATATGATTAGGATTTAGGATATTTAACTCAACAGGAAGTCGGGAACTACTAAAATACTCTTTTAGTCTCAATGATGTTTACTTAATGTTTTTGCATGGTTTCAGCTACACTTAAGAGGGACGCTTAGATTTAGTTACTCATTGAGCTCAAACGAATCGTTATTTATCACCCATAAAAAAAAAATGAAGGGTAAAATGTTACAAACGCCTAATTAATTCCCAGTAGAAAACGGTGAGTTAAGTGTGATTAAGCAGGTCGAGCAGCCGCTTCGTTCTTTCTCATCTGGTCTAAAGCCTCTTTGCGACTTGAATTAGTTGATCGGTTAAATATCATTCAGATTCATCCATTTCGAGAGACAGAGGCACGAAGGAAAGCTCCAAAATGGGAAATTTAACACGGTAGTATTATAAATCACTGCTCGGCGAACACCCAAACAAAGCATGACAGACTTAAAGACGACACTGAAACAGAGTAACTTAAAACAACAACCAGCCACAGCAGCAGCAGCAGATTAAGAACAGAGACGGAAGAAAAAAAGAGTAAACCCCTTTCTTCTACAAGCAAACCCCTGCCATGGCTGTTCTTTATTTACAGCAGGGCCAAAGCGCTAAGACACCCGACCCCAACAACAACTTCCTTTGTCTTCATTTTCTTAGTTTATTAAATAACCATGGGACCGAGCGAGGATTAATGGTGGGTTTGTTCATTTGCAGCCGCAGTTGTCGCAGGTGCAGTTTGATCCGCACTTGCAGCCGTTCTCAGCACCGAAGCTCATCTCCGAGCTCTCAAATCCCCTGCGGCGCAATTCAAACAAATCCAGACCCAATTAAACATTTATTTGATTAGCTGAGGGAAATAATCATAAGGTTGGGTTGATCGCAGAGGAATTGGTAATTAACTTACATGCTGACCGGGGCAACGCCGGCGATGAGGATCTGGGTGGAAGTGGTGGAGGTCTCGGCGAGATCAGGGTACATGCTGCACCCGTTGCAGCCACTGCCGCACTTGCAGGCTGAGCCGCAGCCGCACTTTCCTCCGCAGCAAGACATTCTTATTTGGGTTGGGTTGAGAGTGTTTAGAGAAGAAGAAGGAAGAAAGCAAAGAGTGTTTGTTTGATTGCTCTGTTTTGCTCTGTTTTGTGGGATGGTTTTTCAACGTTCAGCTCGGCCCTGTATTTATAGTGGAGAGTGGGGGTGGTCGGAGCTATCCATCCACCGTACACGTGGCGGAATCGTAGACCCACAGCATCATTGCTCACTCCACCACTCTCTTACGTGTTTACTTTTTGTCCTCCTAGGTAAAATCCCTCAACTTGCAAGTAATTAATCGTCCTTTCATCTGATTTATCTATGCATATTTGACTAATTAATTGCCTATCGCCATCTCCCTCCAACCTTTTCACCTTATTATTATTATCTGCAGTAGAAACAATCAACAGAAGCGCCAAGATCAAATAATTGATTTATTAATGACAGAGATAACCATTGTATAATCTATATGTTTACAAGGGATGTAGTTTAATTTGAGAACATTTGTCGAGCAATACGAGATTAACAATAAGTCCATTATGTATCATCCTTATTCATGGATACATAAATAATTCAACATCCAAATTGCTAATAACAGAACTCGTAATTTTACTAACCATAACCAAAGCAACCACTAAAGGTACCGATGATTCACCAAATCAAATGTAAATGGAAGTGGTTTGGGCTTTAAATACAAACCAAGCTTTTATGTATAAAATTGATATCTCGTGGAGTTTGCTATCAGTAGTCCAATTTGTCTAACAATAATCAAGGCACAGTATCTTTGATTTCAGAGTAAATTATTTAAGGCGTTTTTATTAGCCTGTGAGTTAGGAAGAGATGAGTTTTCTTAATTTGGAATACGAATCATGATTGTGTCGTATCAAAGTTCAATAAAGCACATTGAAGTCCGTGTGTACAATAGAATGAAAACTGGACAACTCTTGTTAGTCAAATACTAAGACCATCTACATCTATGAAATAACATTTTTATTTCATATGTGGTCCTTACTGTCACATTAACCACCTTTTTTCATTTCACTTACAAATCACTTTTATTTCCTCTAGATCAATGAAATCTATTATCTATTTCATAGTGGACCCACAAAACAAAAATACACTCTCTCACAACTCACAAAATATAATAGAAATGAAGAAAGAAAGAAAAAAATAGCATAAAAAACGTGGGTGGAGCCAACTCTTGCTCTTCCATTTGATATTTCATTAAGTGGAAGATCCCACTTTATGAAAATAGGGGCTCCAACAATGAAACTATGAAAGGGGAAATGAAAGTGTCATGTATGATATGAAATAACAACATGACAGCCGTCTTGGATGCTCTAAGCTAAAAAGTTCACATCTCTATAAGTATGGAAAATTGTACCAAACAAGTCTAGCTGGAGTAGACAACAATGCAGAAGAACAAGGACATAATGCTATGAGTGTATTACGAGAATGTGTGTATTAAAGATTATGTGTATTAGGAATACAACATGGATTATGAATACATGCATTCTGTTATTACATCAAGTCAAAAAATGTTGTACTCTCATGATACATGTATACTGAGAATACAACATCTGAAATCGAAGATTCCAAACGAGCCCGTAGTACCTTAATGTCCACTCCAAATTCCACACGAGTGATGAAACAACTCTTCACATTGATCGTATAAGCTACCAATAAGTGACCTTGTCAATGTAGGACTACTCCCAACAACTAATGCCCCTATTGAGATAATAACAGCTCGAAGTATGCTTTACTTAGCACTAGAGGTCACTAATTTAGTGAGGTGATTGTTAACGGTGACTAAGAAGTTGTGGCTTGCTACCTTTCTTAGTGTTTGTGTTCAGATTCGTTAGATGGCGACTTCCCCAACTACAAATTAAGTTGTCTACAAAACCTCGATGCTAATACTGGTCAATTTGATTAGCGTCTTTGGAGCTTGCTGTAAGCATACACCAATCCCAAGCTAGCCCTGTCTGCACCGACACCGTTGCCAAATTCGGTACTGATAGAATCGTGTACACCTAATAATTCAGACAGCTTTAGGCTTTAGCAGCAGCAAGGTGCCGTGAAAGGCTGGGCGTTGCATGTGGTTCCTTGCTTGGCTTGGCTTTGCCTGACAGATTGATTAAAGCTCGTATTTGGTCACTGTTTGAGGCTGAGAGCGGAGGTCTTGTCTCCCTCAAGTCCCGATCCAGAGCGCACTCACTTAAAAGTACACAGTTATGAAGAGTCCCTTTCCTTATCTTATTCCCACCTCTATCTGTTCAACGACAGCCATGGTTGTCACGCCGGCCGGCGTGCCACCGGTTGTACCGGGTTCAACCGGTATCGGTCATAAAACCGGCGTGACACCACCGGTATGACCGGCATGATTGATATACGAATCTCTAAGTAAAATGACCTTATTTTAGAGAATTTAATTGATAAAAATAATTTTATTATTTATTTTATGAGTATAAAAGTTATATATTGATGTTATTTGTTGGATTCAAATATAAATATTTAGGTATTGACGTTAAATGTCATGTTTAAATATGAGTATTTATAATTTTATTTGTAATATTGACCGGCATGAACCGGCACAAACCGGTATGTGCCACCGGTTGAACCATTCCACTTGCTAAACTGGCACACTGGCATAAACCGGTTTGACAACCTTGACGACAGCTTAAAATTATCTGCAGCTGGCCAAAGTCCAAACCAGTACTGTTCTTCAGATATGATCTGTCTCCCCTAACCCATTATTTATGCAAAACCCAATCCTTTCCAAGTAATGAAAGTAGAACTTCATTGTGGAGCTCGAACCAGATCTTTTGATCAACAGCTTATCCACTTGTTGTTCCATGGCAGAAGATATCGTCGATAATTGCGCAGGTATCAATATATGCTGGTGTGGGTCTGGCTGGAATTTCGTCCATCCCCTGGCTGTGGATTCTGCTTTGCTTGAAAACCCACTTGAGAGTTGTTCTCTTCAAACTCTTCTCCACCTCCCCTTTTTTGCTCAACTTTCTTTCCTTGTATGCTTTGGCTTAAAGGAAAACGAAATCTGAATTGCTTTCCGTCCTACATTCTGTGCCAGCCCTTTTGCTTATATTCTTGCAGTAGGAAGGAAAGCACGTCTTTTGTTGGAATATGGGGATGCTGTAGGCGCTCGGGGCCAATCATGAAGGATCGCACTATTGATGATGGAGAGCCTTCACCTTCGCAACTTGTGGCCTTTACCTTTCATACCGTTCCATTGAAATTCTATATATCGTGGACCAGCCAAAAAGTGAAAGCTTCCTTTCCTCCTGCCTTCCACAATAACTCGCCACCATCATCTTTTTTATCACATCAATAAAGCTCCAATCTTCACTTAGCTCTTCCCTTACCTTCACCTCGCCCACTTGTTCTTCAACCCATCCTTAGCATCATCCAGAGATATATCTTCCATGCCCCAACATGATCGGATCCCGACGAGAAAGTGATTGAATTGCATCATCCCAACTTCTCTCATAAATCTGCTCAAGTTATGCTAATTTGAACAAAGATAAACAGGGAGGTGAGATCTGTAATGAGAACCTAACTAGATGCTTAAACGTGTGGGGAAAACGAGGAGCATCGTTATGTAGTTCAAACTTTAAAGCAGCAGCAATAGATCAATAGTCCACTAGATGTTATAATCAACAGAAATTTGTAGGTCATTACTCTCTGTTACTACCGCAAGTGTCACATCCTTCTCTCCAGTAATAGTCACATCCGTAAACGGAGAAAACATTGTTTCTACCAGGAACATCACAGCTGAAACAGTATACTGGCCCATAAACAAAGCCTTAAAACTTAAACATACTTCAAAGCCTAACCTCGGAAGGTACTATCGAGGTAACAGCATCTAACCAGATGGAACCACCCTTCTCTTCTTCAATGCCCTTTGTAATGCAGCCTTCATCAGCAGCAACTGATCATAATTCATAGCACAAAGCCCGGAACTTCTTTGTCAGACTTCGTGTCGCACAAGTAGTCTGATTAAGTCCATGTTCCATAGCAGATGGGTATTTTCAATTGCTGGGCTTCGCTAAGAAGTCTTTGGTTCTCTTCCTAATTCGTGTAAATACAATTACTGCCAAAGCAAGGAGCCATGGATTAAAGTTACCCTCAAAGAACCTGGAATTCTTGATCCACTGTGGAGGTTCTTTCACCACCACGGTTATTAATACGGTTGTTACTGCTACACCTAACAGGATCTTGGTCACCGGTTTTATCATCGAATCCTGAAATTCCCAGACACAATTGCATCAGTAATATGTTTCAAAGTAAGCACTCTGGAACGTGAAAGAAACGCATTTAAGGGAGAGCAGATACAAGGGCGTTTGCTTTAGTCTACTTCCACAACTCGTTAATTACTCCAATGTGAGTAATGGGAACCGGAATACAGACACAGGGGCAACAGACTGAAACAATTTGCTGGGATGAGGCTGTAGTGCAAACCAAAAAACGAAGTCTGTAACTGTAATAGCAGCAGCAAGAATGAATCACGAATTCATGATGAAAATGGAGACAACCAGTTCCAAAATTGTGTTCAACTGAACACCAAATAGATTCCACCTTCTTGACATATGCATGACACTCTAATGGCCCTTAAAGAGTCACCAGATTTACTGTTCACAATACCCAATTTTCTGTATCTTAGAACAACTGCAATTACACCAGGCTAAGAATTCTGGCTTCAACCGAGTAGGATAAACTGCCATCAACAAGCTAAAGACGACTGGGTTTCCCCCCAAGAAAACAATGAACCACCCAAATAGTCCATCAATCGACTGTGTTTTTGCATTCTTTACCCCTTAATTAATCAAATCATGCATCCTAACTGAACATATTCTGCCGTAAAGAAAGAAACCTTTCCCAATTCTAGAGACGAGAGCACCTAAATGCGACGTTAGGGGTTACCTGAGGCTCGCCGTCGATGTAAATCACGGCTCCGTCTTTATAACCAAGCATGGACCTGCCGTTCCTCCGGTTGAATCGGATCGGGGTGCCCCGGGTCATGGACCCGTGATTGAAAGCGTAAACGCACTTGAACCCATACTTATCGAGGATGTCACGGATCTCCAGCTGATCCTGCTCCCACCCTCCCAATTTCATCTTGAAAACTTCAATCGGGCCCTTGCCCTTCCGATAAAGATGAATCTCCACCTCCGGCACCGGCGCCCCTGCGGATTTCGGGTTGCTGTCCGGTTCGATTAGCGGCGTCGTCTCCGTGCTCGTCTCTTCGACTTCTCTGATCCCTTCGTCCGCCGTCGCCATTCTCGCCTTCCCTGCTGGTTGAATTGAATCTCTCCGTCGCGCGACAAAGTGAACCGGTGAAGTAAAGGAACGAATTTCTCCTTTTTGATGGGGGTTAGTTTAGTTAAAAGTTCTTGTAACTGTCGTCTCGTGCCGGCAGACCAGCCGTTGCCAGCTAACTAATTCCCTGGCTTGGACCGCTGGGAAAAAGCCCAAAATTAAGTTCCAGTTAGACGGACCCTAGTCCATTTGATTACGAGCACAATTTGAGAATTTAGTCACTCCAACTTATTTTAAGAGCTAATGCTCATTCGAGTACCTGAACTAAATTCAGAGACGGAGCCAGGATTCTTGGTTAGGCGGAGCGGGATTTTTTTTCCAACATACTATACATAAAAAAATATGAGAAATTTCTAATTAAAGGCAAAGAGTTCACAATTTTTTTTATATATACAACCCACTTAAAATTGTTTCAAAAAAACGAAAATAATAACTTATCTTTTTTAACTTGTGATAAAACCAGGTGTTTCAAACATCATAATTTATAAATTTGAATATTGCTTAATAATACAATAAAGTAGACTAATTTAACCGATTATAGATACAAAAGTGAATTTTTTTTTGTAGAAATACGAAGCAACCTGTAAAGATATCGTCAAAAAATACAGAAATTTTAATATAAAAATACAATAAACTTTAATGAAACAGAGGTAGAGTTCAAATTATTATCTCTTTGCCACATTTTATATAAACCATTTTGTCTCTACACATCTAATATAAGTTATGTCTCACCAAATACTACATACATTATATTAATAGGTCTGATAACAATGAAATAATGCATACATTATATTCTTATTATATCTTCTAGTATTTTCAGAATTTAGAAGAGAGAGCACTGAATAGAGCCAAAAGTTTGGATTGTGATGAGTGATGTCTGCGGTGGAAAAGAGCTGCCCATTAACCAATAACTAAAATAAGATTAAAATGGCAGTAACAAGCTTAAAAAAATTACATTGCGAGGATTCGAACTCCTATTCTCCTAGCCAATTCTTTAGTTAGATAAATATCATAACTACCATGACAACAACATTTCTTGTTAGACTCACTTACACTTTTAGGAATTTTAACGATTTAGGGGAGGGAGGGGGGCATGGCCCCCTAACTACAAGCTGGCTCCATCCCTGACTAAACTATGGGAATCTTTTATTGAAGTGTATGAATTCATCTTACTATATTTTTTATGATGAATTCATCTTACTATATTGCTTCTCTTTGAAACTTTTTATGGATTTCCGTATGTGTACATCTTAGCTATCAAATTCAAAGATGAGACCTTCCCAAAATTTTGAAGTCATTTGCTCTACAAGTCCAGAATGAGAAACAATAAAAAAAAAATCATTCACACTAGGAGTCATCAAGGTGAAGAATTCATAGGAGATGAACTTCTAGTTTATTGTAACAAATTAAGGACTAACATAACTTTTCGAGCCATGTAGATCAATTCTCCATGCCAGTTTCAGACTATGCAACGTGATCTGCATAGTAAGGATAATTGATGATGTTCTTCATCTTCCAGATTCACAACACGGCAAAAGTCAAACGATGTGAGATCTCTAAGTCATGAGGTCTCCCTAAAAGAAATCCATAAGAACATGAAATATCGTTGGAACACATATTTAAGGACATTTTTGGCGCCATGAGATAGGCAACTCTTTAAAGATTGACCATGTTTCTCAATTCGTGAAATGAGCTATGTATGCTTAAAGGGTCTATTTAATAGCATACTAGGAAAAATGCCCGCTGCAACGCCGCGGGGACTTAAGTTGCGGAGTCGTGATGGATAGATGGGCAGTTAAATTTATGGTCAATGCAGGCTGTTAAATTTTCTCTGATGTAAGGAGGTGGAGAGTCGTGTTTGTGGGCATTCCATCTACTAATCAATATGAGGCTGAGATTGTCAATGCTAAACTGAAAGTAGACATGTTGTTGACACATCAATCGGCCAATAAATTTCTATGTTTGAGGATAGACATATAGGGGTCATGCCATGCAAGCGACGTAAGCACAATGCAACAACACTTTAGAAACTTAAACAATTTTCCATGGGTTGGGATAGAAAGACAGGTCACAACATTCATATTACATGAGCACAATGATTCCAGATAATTGAAGACAACTTACACACAACTAAACATAATGTGCAGATGAAATAAGGTTCCAACTTCTGAGATCTTCTATTATGACATGTCACCACTAAAAGTATACCATGTGTGAGCTTAAAATTGCAGGAAAGTCTACTCTTACATACACAATGCCTTGAACTTCCTTATGAGATGCAGACCGAGTATTGATGTTTCTCTTCTTCTCTGTCATATGATAGTCAGTTTCGATTTGTGTTTTAAATTGCCTTCTCTAGGTTAATGCCCATTGGTGGAAATTAACTCCCTCTGCATAGTACTTAGCCAGGCCTCCCCTATTGTTCCTTCAACCTTCCCTGTGTTTCTCAACCAGTCAGCAATGTTATTTTGAACTTTGCAGCAGATCACTTGGCGTGGAAACTCTTTGCCTTCAATGATTCTCATGTTTCTTTCCTTCGAAATTGCCCAACATATTGCGTGAAACAGAACCTTTTAATACCACTCTTTGGGACTGACAACTTGTTGGTGGGGCCAACCTCTGATCGCTGTCTCACTCGAAATGAGAGTTTCAAAAATGAACAAATTTGCTTAACCTTCTCCATACTTCCTTCAAGAAGCTGCAAGCAAGAAAAAACTATCAATATTTAGAATTGTCTCCATCAGAAAGATTAGTATTTACTTAAAAACTTTTAGATTCTTGACAACAGTTGGCAGATTGAACTGGAATGTGAAAAAAGATCTTAACTCTTCAGCCTGAGTGGCTTGACTCCTCACTGAGCCAACAACGAAAGGCAGACAGGAAATCAGCCAACACAGGTAGAACAACATGTTCGAGATGATCGAAGTGAGAGAATCAATAAGGGCTGGATCATACTGCTGGCTTGGGCTGGGAAATCTATTAACCTAGAAGAACAAAATGAACGTAGTCGATGACAATAAAGATACAATTAACTGATATGTAGTTTTTCCCTACGAAAGATACAATTACGTAGTTTTTCCCTACGAAAGATACAATTACAGAACTACTTAGTACATTCTAAAATTAGTATCGGCTAGCATAATCTTAGGTTAGTGTGATTTTAATGAAAATCCTACTAGTTAGGACACTCAATACTTTTCCGAGCACCAAACGAATCTTTTGTAATTCATGAAAACCAACCGTGACTTTCTATGACTTGGACGCAACCAATCCAACGTTGAGATCTTGTAGCCTTTTCAAATGGTGATGACTGATGAGCAGGTGTAAGTTCAAATAAATAATGGGTAACAAATGAGAAACAAACATACGTGTTTCAGGAATATGCAGACAAAAAACACCATGAGTAAGTTCAAGAATAAATCCGATTGACTCCAAGAATTAGGAAAAAGGGCATATACTATATCAGTTGGGCAAAGTCTTCTTTAGGCCTCCTTGAACAATAAAGTTGTCAACTGTATCATTCCTTAAACGTCATAAAGCAAAGCTAAAATCATAACTACCATGCCAAGGCACCTATAGGAGTTTGCAAAAGTAAAATATAATGAAGCCGAGATGATGCACACATGCACACTGTAGGATAAATAATACATACCCAACCGAGATGGGTGATTGGAGCCTAGGACGTAATGCGGCTGTGGTAGAACTCTCTGAAAGCTTAATAGGTGTCGATGGTGTAGTTGCAGCTCAGAACACGACATTGAAGGCTATGGTCACGCTTGTTTTAGTACTTACGAAAAGACAAACATAATTTTAGTGATATGGTAGTCAAATATATTGGTAAATATAGAGGATCTAATAATCTGAATAAGCTGCATAAAAGACTTTGATCTGTGGTACACACAACTATCATTTGTACGTCCATTGAGGTGCAATTCCGTTATTGGACAAAATACCAATGGCATCTAGACATCGAGATAGACCATGCAAGAGACAGCACAACAAAACTGGACATGCAGAAAGCAAGAAAGGTTCTTCCAGCTGGTTCTTTGTCTCTGATAACTTCCTACAAGGTTACTAATTTGTAAGTGTCGAGCATGCATGAAAATTTGGAAAACTACACTGCATAATTTGGAAAAACTGCACTGCATAGATTGGAAAAACTGCACTGAAAATTTGTCTCTGATAACAACCTCTGGATCGTATAAGCAGCAAACACAAGTCTAAATGGAAAGTACCATGATAAAAGAAGCATGTAAAGGTGAACCAACCTCTTGTCTAGGATTAGCATTGCTCACAGAACACCAAAATTTGGACTAATGAAGCATTACTGGAACAATGGAATGTGAAATAATGAAGCATTCCTGGACTATGAAAGAGTCTTTGTTAAAATCCATTGAAATGTAGGTGGCCAAGCACCAAAACAGGGGATCTTGGAAGCTCAATCAGAGTTAGAATCAAGCAAGAAGCATCAAAGTGAAAACGATAACTGAAGCATTGAAGTAAGCCAGATAGACTGCACTCTCAAATTATTTTCAGTGGTTTGTTGGACTTAACTAACGCGTTGAGAAATATTGAAAGCAAGTATCAACCATATATATTTATAGGTATACCGTGTTACCATGATATAATGTTCTGCACATGCTGGGAATATAAAGAGTTACATATACAGTTCAAAACAACACTAATCGGACAGGGTTAGCACATCAAAACCTGAACATCACAGAAATTTCATAAGCACCTAGGTTTACAATGCATCCAACTATGCTCCAATGAGACTAATAAGTAAATTATCCAACAGACTCCAAATTCAATTGAGAAACTTGATAACAAAAATTAAGTATGGTATTAAACACAGATGGCAACAATATACAACTTTAGTTAGTAGCTAGAAATCAAATGAGACTATTAAGTAAATTCTCCAGCAGACTGTAAGTTGGACCACAAGCCAGTAGTCAGTACACTATTCTATTTGGAATGGTTAGTTATCGGGAGTCAAGCATAAAATTCTTTTATAATTTATTATCTTGAATTAGAGTTGGATCAGAAAGTAGTGAGATTGACAAAGAGCAAACCAAATTTAAACCAATGAAGCAACAAATAACATTAAAGAAAAAATGCTACCCAGTTTGTTTGAAACAACCCCCAGAAAGAAGCAATTACAAACCCAACCCGTAAAGATAGAGT